CACTAGAGTAAAAGTACGACTGGCAAACAGTTCCCCATGTCTCATTGACCTTTATCTCAACTCTACCATGATATGGTCCATTTGTTCCTGCCAGTCTGACGCCCGTGATGTTTAAATGGTACCCTAAAAATTTAAATTGATGAAAAATTAACATCTTATTTAGTATTGCGTAGTTGAGTAAATACTGATTCTGACGGGAACTATAAAATTTAACTCAAATATTTAAAAATTTGATTTTCGTTTCAAAACTTCTAGTCATTTCTGTGTTTCATAACTTTAGTTTATGGTAAAAACATTAATAAATTACAGAGTATGCATAAGAACAACGGTTACAATGAATACATAAAAGTTATTTGTTATTTTTGTTACTTGTTTTAGTGTAAGATGAAATTTATTTCATCGAGTAAACTTTAAAGGCCATAATGCAACGAGTGAGAAAACTGTTTTTGGAGTTATATACAGCCAATTTCACACCAATTTTCATAAATACAGCTAATATTCAGCACAAAAGTAAATACGAGTAAATCAAGTAAGTTAAATGGCGATGATAATTATAGTTAACAAAAGATATGAATTATCCCCTGTTTCAATCATTAAACTTAACATTTCTAGAGGATGAAAAGGTTATACCGTGCCAAACTATCACGACCACCATTATTTAAAGTTGTTTATTTCATGGAAGGGAAGAATAAAATGCCTTTGATTTGAAAGGAATTCCCATAGGGTTTGATATTTAACATCTATCATATGAAAGAACATTTCTTCGCGGATTGTTACAGATACTAATAGATTGTTGACAAATGTGTATACATTTAAGAAGCAACTTAAAATTTGAAAAAAGCATAAATAAAGAATATTCTTAAAAGGCTGTCTTACAAGCGCTGGCTTTTTTACTTATCTTTTTTGGCAGATGACTGTCATTGCATTTACACTGTGTTCATTTATTGCTCATAGAATACTTAAATATGCAAAAATTTCATCAGGAGCAGTTTTGCATAATGAATGAAAGTTATCATCAGACTGTGATGAATGAAATCAAAACGTAGAGACGAATCAATAGATACGAATTTTGTGATTAATAAACTGAATGATTGAAAATAAATTTAATCTTTTTAATAACCTTTGGAAATTGAGTTATTTAACAATTTCAGTTTTGTTTTGCTCTAAGCAGCCCTAGATATGTCGAAAATATAAGCATAAATAAAAGTGAGGGGACACATCTTAAAGAGCAGTCTTTACATTTAAGTGTGGAATTTTACAGTTAAAATTGTCTAATAAAGTTTTCACAGAAAAATCAGGAATTAACTAAAAACCATAAAATAAAGTGGTATAAGTAAAATCAAACAAAATAACTTTTTTTGTAAAAACCCTTTATATAAGCGCATCCACAAAAAAAATCGGTGTGTACTTTTTTCGGAAATTCCTTTCACAATTTGATAAGTATTTACGTACTATACAAAAATTGTCACGATATTGAAAATTAAGAGTTCAAATACTCATTTTTATAGTACGAATTTTAAGACACCTAATAAAAAGGATTGAAGATTTTTTACTTAACTAGAAACAACTAAAGGAATAACTTTATTTATTTACTTAGTGGCGGCTTGATGCGCCGGACTAGTAATCTATGGATTGCTACTAGTATTCTAAGGATTGCTGGGTTCAAACCCTGTCATGGGCCGTTGTTTCTTTGAGCAAAAAACTTTACATTCATTGCTTAGTACTGGTTGGTTCAAGGAACGGATTCGAGAGTGTTTCAATATGCTTATAGCTTCTAACACAATCAAACTAAAATAAATGTATATAAACTAATTTTTTTTATCGCTAAATAATCTAGTCGTTACCTAGGAAATAATCTGTCAATATATTTAATGTAACATTAATATATTTTACAGCACCTATTCAGCAACTCATTCATAGTTAATTAGAATTAATGTTATACAGAATGATCTAAATAAATAAATGAATTGTTCTTGACTCTTTTCATAACCTTAACATGCAGTTGTAAATTTAATAATGAAGAAGTGAAGATGTTCAAAACACAAATAACCTGTCAGATGTACACATTTATCGTCCCGTAAAATTATTGTTTGTTTTTATTGGAGTTTTTATTGAAGTTTTCTCATTTTTTGAAACTGTCTATATTTTATACTTTTAGATAAATTATTGGTTCTTTAGCGTGTTAAAAATATTGATGGGTATATATAATGAATTTCAAACATATATAATTAGATAAAATATAGAAGGGTAGAGTGGATATTGGTTATTGGTTACTGTCTAATCATCAGAGAAGTATAAATAATATATAGTGCATTTCTTCATGTACTTTTTTACAATAAGGAGTGTCAAGTTTATCCATTTACACTGTGGAGAAAACCCTTTAGAGAATTTAATATCCTTAGAATTAAATATTAATTTTAAAGGGACTCCACTGAGGTTTAAAAGCCTAAAACATGACATTAGAATTTCTTACATAAATGAACTGGCGCGCTTTAAACAGAAATATATGCAAAGATAGTTAAGAAATATACTTTAAAATAAATCGAAAATCGTAGTTTTATGCTTTTCTTAGCCTTATTTGAGTGAAAAGCATTTAAACGCTTTTCATTTTTCGTCATATTTTACAATTTGAATAATTATTCTGGAAAAACGAAGTGCGCGAATGATCTGAATGTTTGCACAAAGATTCGTGGTCTACATGTACATCAAATGGTACATTTAGCTGGAAAAAAAACATTTTCAGTCCCATAATGTCAAAAAACTTCAGTCCCTTTAAATAATTATTTCAATTGTTGAAATAAACATAAAATCGGAGATCCATATGCTATGCATACTTTAGTCATTACTTTTTAATTTCTCTTGCAAAAGAGACTATTTTGTTGGTAGTACATGTAGGGGCAAGCTTTTCTAAAAACATATACATTATCAGGGCAAGTTGATGCGTATTCAAAGCTGTATTTTTACGCAATTAAGATGTTGGACTGAAGTTTCCAATATAACATCCATTTAGTACAAACATTTAGTCAAAAATGTAGTTAGATATCTGCTATCTGATTTAGACATATCAAACAAAATAAGACATGTTATACCAATATATAGCCAGATATTAAAGTTTTTTATTTTAATTTTCAGGTTTATGCTTCAAAACTTAAAATTGGGGTTTTGCATTTTAGAAGCAAACATATTTCAAGAATGCTTTGACTAATATAATGCATGACTGTTAAAAGATATATTGAACAAGTCAATAAAAGCGATTGTTGGAGGAGTAAATATTTCACCATATCAATATCTTTAGATTTTTTTTGAAGTCATTGTTTAAACTGAATCATAACTGTTATATCTAAGCATGTATAACACTAGGTTTTATTATGGAGGCGAATTAACAGTTTGTATATTTTATATCTAAGGCACACTGAGAAGGGTTCGTATACGACCAGTGAAACTAATATAAAATTAAACAGTTCCTAAGGAAACTACATAACGGCTAAATTAAAAATGTTGCAGGCTTGGTTTGACTGAGCCTGTTCATAGACAGTAATTGAAAGGAAAGTGCAAGCTGCTGTTCACACTCCCTAGCACCTAATTAAGTAGTATTGAACATTTGGACATGTAATGGTAAAATTTTTAATTCAGAAAAGTCTGAAAATGTGTTCATGCGTGAATGATTATAGACTTTTACAATTTGACACGTTAGTGGCTTCAGTTAACATGGTGTAGGGTCCCAAGTTAATGACCTGAATTAACCGGTATTTGGCAGAGGATCAGAAGTTATGGAGCATGCATTACGCAAATAAGACGTCAAAACACATTTAGAGAAGCAAGGAATACATCCAAAATGTAATTAACAATTATTCATGTAAGGAAAACTGGAAGCATCCAACTACAAAAAAGTGAAATAACTAAAATTACCGCAAACACAGCATTAAGGTTAGAGTCATGTGAATGATTATACAATATCTCTGAAACTCCGCTTGCATGTAAGGCACGAATTTCTTCTGCCTACACGCTTCTAAGGGAAATGGAATCAATAAAGAACATCCAAAGCTGCACAGTTTAAATTGTTAACTACCAACAAAAATGTATACACAACCTTAATGTCAAGGATCGAAATATAGTCGTACCTAGGAAATGACTGCTTTATTAATTTATCTCTTGAAGGGTGGGGGAGTAGAAGTGGACCATGGACTGACCCTTGAGGAACATCTGAGATGACTAGATATTGATCGATATGATTGCCATTTTATCTGATCATTACCATTCACATCAAGGCAATAAAGAATGATCTGATCAAGAACGCAGCTAGTTCAGAGACGCAATAGTCTTGGACTTATAAGAGGAGTTTCAAATGCTTCTTGTCAAATTATTTTCTTTCAAAAAGCACGATGCATTCGGTTTGCTAGCTAGATTTAGCACTACGTTATCTTGAAGATCTAAGATTTGTATTTAACATGACCTCTTATTACAGAATCTATCCTGTAACTCATGTTGTGGCTTTTGAAAATGATGGGTAAACTTGATGTGTTTTATTATTTTAATACCTGTGCACTCTACTGCAACATCATCGTAATGTGTACATTGATTCGAAATCTCGTAACTGCATTCGTTTATATGTGACTCTGTGCCATTACATTTCATGTTGCTGATGTAAATTGGACCACTTCCTTTTTTACTGTAATGGCTTGCTTTGGGGAAGAAGCTTTTATATCTGTTAAAAAAGTTATAAGGTGTATTAACGAAACAACGTGAAGGTACATAGCTATCTAAATGATTTCTTTTGTCAGCCTTGTTAGTTAACCATTGAGCTGATGTTGAAATCATACAATTTTGAAAAATTATAAAAGCATTATTTCTATCATCTCTAAAGTTATCTTTTATTCATTCTTTTTACATATTAAGAAAAATAAAAGTACTAATATATGAATTTCAAAATGACTTACTGTAAACCAAACATTCTACAGATAACCCGTGCATCAGCAGAATCAAAACCTGTATCACAAATCGTGCCCCACGTCTCGTTTACTTTCAGATCAACACGTCCTTCGGTGGGTCTACGTCCGCCATGCAGAGCGATGTCTTCTATTTGTAATGGGTGTTCTAGAAATAATAACAATATTGCATAACTTTTCGTTAATTGAGACATATCATTTGATCAATCAAGTATTTGTTACTGTTTCTACAAAAATGAGACTATAAGAAAAAATAATTTTAAGAAATATGTAAAAGAATGCTAAATATTTATGTTTAATTAAGTTATATAGCGCACCAATATATGGAGTGCATCTTTTTGCCTGAAACCAGTTATTATCTTCAAGGCATGTCATCGTTACTTGGTTTGGCTGTGATCCTGTGTGACATGCTATAGTTAATACATTTCCGTTGAATGAAATTGGATCTCCGTTATAAATTGCAGGTAAGCCACATGCTGTAAATGATGTTGTAAATTATTATGATTCTTTATTATAAAAACGTTTCATATTTCTAAGGGCTGTGTGCATTTACAAATATATATTCAAAGATACGATCCGCTTTTAGAAACACAAAATGATAATTATAGACATTTCATTCCTCCAACTCTAAAATTTGTTGCTGGAAAGGGCAATGTGTATTTAATCACTATTTTTTCATTTATTCACACGGATTCTTTAAGAAACCATTCCATTTAAGCTTGTAACCTTTTACAATGTTAGTTTTCTTTAAGCTTTACGTATGCCAATTTAAATGTTTACAAGTAGATAAGATAGCTATAAGTTTCTCATAGCAGTTCAAAATATCCTAATTATCGATTTAAGTCAGCAGTATGCTATAACTTACTTGTGCAAGCTATAGATAAATCATACGTATGTGAAGCAGAAGATCCGTATGGTGAATGGCCGGAACAACTGCTTATATGACTCCTTTCACCGTTACAATATAGCTCTCGTGATAATATAGGCCCTGTCCCTTGTCCATATATTGCAGACGTGAAATACATTGCTAGACTAAAATTTAAAAAAGTCAGTTTTTTGTTGTCAAAAACACATCATTTAACGAATTTATAATACATTTGAAATATATATTTTAGAAATACTTATCATAATATTATTATAAATTTTGAACATGCTTTTGTTATTTCATAGAGAATATGCGTCCAGAGAAAAGGAACATACACAACGGAAAATTCATTTAATCCACTTGTTTCGAAGAACTCGAAATCTTTCTGAATACAGAAATGATTTTCGAAATGTCCGAAAGAACATTTGAAATGAACTACACAATTATACATATAACTTTATTTACCAAAAGCCCTTTACAACAAAAGCATACGATAGACTGACGTATATGCGGAGATAGTTACAATAACAATAATGGATTTTCTTTGCAACATTTGCTAGATTCTAAAACTTTTAAGATAAGTTTACATTTACATTTCATGTAAGATTTAGTCATACTTTATAAACTTTACCTTGATTCTCAATATGATTTCAATATAGCATTTTAGAAGCTTTTTAAAACATTGGTCACATTTCCTTAAAAATATTCACTTTTGGTTTATACAATCTTACTTTAGTTCGATTATGATGGAAGCTATAAATCTATTGAAACACTCTCGAATCCGTTCTTTGAATAACTAGTACTTAGCAATAAATGTGAAGTTTCTTGCTCAAGAAAACAACGGCTTGCCCCTGACGGGGTTTAAACCCTCACAGTCAGCAATTCGTAGATTACTAGTATCCTTAGATTACTAGTTTGAGGCGTTAACCACTCGGCCATGCCGCCACTTTTCGGTGTTTTTCTTCTGCAGACTTCCTTGTCGTTATAGTGCTATGTAAATTTGAAACAGTTTACTTACTGTACTTGTTTCATTTGATGACGAAAAGACGTAACCTACTTCTTTAGGATTGTAATTATTTAAAAAAGACAAATTGTGACATCGCTATGTTCCATATGATACAGTCCCACGTCTTAACACTATCATTTTAAGATGGTGGCTGATTTCTGTCATTGTTCCGCAACACTTAAAACACCTTGTCATTACTCAATATCATTTAAATAATGGTCACTTTTCGTGTTTTCGTGACTCCGCCCCTATTTGTCGTTATTAATATTAATCATTTGTAATATTGTCATCTTGAAAAAAAACGTGTCTCCGGCCTTATTTGACGTTATTGTTATTAATATTAATCATTTGTAATATTGACATCTTGAGAAAAACAAAACAAAAAACATCTGATCGGGTTTCTCTCGACCTCGCCTATAATATCACCAACGGATATTTGACACCTTCACTGGTTTTCATTCTTTATCTATGTGGTCATCAGTTTCCGATAATCCTTCTTTATTTAACTGGTCAGCAGTGTCCTATATACTCTATATCGTCAGCTAATTCGTCAGCAGTTTAGTATCGCCCCTACCGGAAGGCGAAACCCGAAACAATGTTGTTGTCGTTACTTCGACTTTCGCGTTTCGGGGCAAAATCACGACAACACGAAAATCGGCCGTATTTTCCCGTATTTTCGTTATTTCGACCTTCGCGTTTCAAGGCGAAGACACGAAGACACGTCAAACAAAGGGTGCGGACACGAAAGATTTCGCCACGCCAACAAGAAAACTTAAACAATGACATTTCCGACCCTTTGCGTGTGAAAAGTTCGTTATTTCGCCTAGTATGTTTCGTGTTTTCATGTCTTCGCCCCGAAGGCCGAAAGTCGAAATAACGACAAATAGATATGTTTTCGTGTCTTCGCCTTTCGACTTTCGGGGCAAAGACAAGAAAACACGAATTGGCAGAAATCAGCCACCATATTTTAACATTATAGAGTATCGTTCATGAGACATGTAGATTAACTTGTGCATCGCGTACATACATAAGTATATATTTTCTAGGCCTTGAAAGGGAAAAAATCAGAAAAAGTGCTATATATTGATAACAAACTTTTGTAATCTATCTACGTTTATCGAGTTTGTAAATCCAAGGGACACTTGTATCAAAAAATGAAATAAATCTGGTCATGGTACCCAGATTATAATGTTTGACAACTATGATTTGAAACAAATATAAATGTACCGTTGGAAGAAAGATATTTGCGTAACACATTGCATACCTTGCGTTGTGGGCGTTACATATCGTGCGGGCATCATACATATCAACATATCTCGCATCAATTGTTCCCCATTGACCATTAACAAACATCTCCATACGACCATCATAAGGTCCTGTGCCATTAACAAGTCTGGTATTTGTTACCAGTGTCATTGGCCATTCTAAAATAAATGTCTTGCTAAGAACATACATGTACGGTATGCGAAATCCTGAGAATAATATTATTGTTTTTCAATTATGTCCCTTATTATAATATATTGTATTAACATACCAAGAGTCTAGAAAATATAAAACTAAGCCATTAAATTGTGAATAATAATATATTTAAATATATTTTTGTTTCTTGTATTGAAAAGTAAATAAAATGTTTTGAAGTATATAGAATATCCTTGTTATAACAGTTACTTATAACATTTAAAATATGTTTTTTTCTTAAAATGACAAGTACAGAACATGATTTGAAAAAATTAGAATATCCTTTAAATAACTAAGATAACTAATTGTTACATTTTATTTTGATATAACTACATATCTTTGTGTTTGTATGTATCGTGAAACAATTTTAAAAAACAATTTCAATATCAAAGCATTGGAAATTTCCGTTTATAAGAGCAAATTAAGACGACTGGTGTACACATATGTAGCTATGAACGTACATTTATTATTCACCAAAAGAAAGAGATAATTGCTATGCTTTAAAAAATGTAGACATTAATTTGTGCAAGACCTTTTGTACAATGAAGCTGTTAATGGAATAGAATAGCACATAACAATTAAGTGCACAATGTTAAGGCCTAAGTCTAATAGGCACCACGTACTGTTGCAAGCGACGGCAGCATCTCGATTGTGGTCAGTACATGACACGTCCTGACTGTATTTGCACTCATCTATATTAGTTTCATCTCCTTCACAATTCAGATTGTCTATATGTATTGGTCCGGTGCCCGATCCGTAAACGTTTGAAGACGTGTAGAAAATTCTGTATAACCTATATGCATACAAATATTATATATAAACACTGTTATTAAGATTTTTTATTGTTTAAAAAGTACCTGATTTTAGAATGTTGATTGGCATAATAATTTCATTATTTAACTTGCATAGCATGGCATTTCTACCGTAAAATAGAAAATAGTAAGTAAAAAGGTAAGTCATGTCAGAATGACTCCTTCTTATTTAGTCATGGCAATATTGGGAATAGAATAATATTGATTGTATGGACATGTGAATTAAAGACCCATACCTGGTGCCAAAAAGGATATTGCATATTGCTCGAGCGTCTTGAAAAGTAAATGATGTGCTACAAATAGTTCCCCAAGTTCCACTTTTAAAAACCTCGATCCTGCCATCATATAACCCGATTCCGTTGACCAGTCGAATATTTCGTAATTCTTTAAAATCATTTTTACAGTAATTATTAATAATGAAGCTATATGAATCTACATGTATATGTTCAATTAAAATCTGTTTTGAATACAAAAAAATGTTTAAGTTATCTTTTATGCGTTTGAACATTTCTTACATGTAATATTTACGAATTAAAATTTATAAATATGATATCAACATATATAAGGTAAAAAAAAAGACAATTGGGTTACAATTAACTTTAATGATATATATTGTATATATATATATACAAGCTTTCTTTACATTTGAAAACATATAAAAAGTGGTCAACCAACGTGACCTTTTTTCGGTACCGCACTCATCCACTTTCATTCGATGCTTTTTACCGATAAATTTCCTGTTATGAAAAAATGGACGAATATTAAGGAGATAAAGCGCAAGATAACCATAATACTAACTCTAAAGCTATTTTTTCAGATGAATTTATCGTCATTTAAAGTATTTTGTAGATTTGTCCTGACAACGAAATTAAGTTTCGGAATTTCTAAAGCCGCCATTGTATCTTAAACACACTGGCCTGGTAGAGACAATTAACCAGTATATTCGCTCAAAGTGTATGTAATTATTTCAAGGTATCACTTTAACTTTTTTTATTTGATAACTTCGATGGATAATTATTAAGAAAAGTGATTCGAAAGGAAATGATAACAGGAACGTAACAGATTAGATCAAATGGATGAAAACACTAAAAACCGAAGCCTGGAATGCTTAACTTATGCTTTTCGGTTGAACCCAAAGGCACTTTGGATCAGCCAAAATCATCGGCTGTAAGATTTTGTATCAACTGTCAATAAGAAAGCTCTTAATATTGTTACAAAGATTGATGTTGATACTTGATTGCGGCTCGTCATTATCCGAGAATGGTCTGAAAATGTCCATTGTTGTCACTTTGGATCTGTGGGCCATTATCGCATTATTATCATGTTTGGTCTGCAATGAAATGCGGCGTTAAGACATCGATGCAAATCTTGTCGCCCGGTATAACTTACAGAAAGTAAGGGTTTGTTTTTTATATTTGTAGATTTATTGCCCTAGACTGAAAACACATTTGCAATTTAAACTTGTGTAACGCACAGTCCATAAAGTATATGGCCTGAAACAATGAAACATTACAGAAATGTTGATCAGCACAAGAAGCATCTGATGTTGAAATTTATTCCTTATTCGTAGAGTTTTTACCCATTTTACTTATAATTTGCAATTTTCTATCTCGTGTAGACTTAACAGTATTTGATCTAGATTCATTAAAGTGTATGAAAATGATACTTTACAGGATGTTCTGGTCAGCATGTGAAATTGAGCATCTGTTTTTCTTTTTTTTTTCTAAGCATGTTGTAAGGTACAAAACTGCAATTTGAAATTCTTAATATTAGGAAATTGTTAGATGCCGTTTTTATGCCTCAACCGCTAAGGGGCAGGGGGATCATAGCTAATGTGCTTTGTCTGTCCCTCTGTCATATTAATCTTCTATACGTCAGTGACAGGAGTGGCGTGTAAGAACATCCGTATTCCTTATATCTACACTCGATCAAACCAAGTCAGCAATAATTATGAATTGGTTTTGAGATTTATCCTTCCGGGAGATCATTACTTTCCCTTTCCATTAGATAGAGGACATTTGTTTGTTTGTGTGTATGATGAAATTTTATTTCATCGAGTGAGCTTTAAAAACAGTATTATCACGAGTGGCGTAGCAGAGGATTGTAACAGACAATTCACATGTATATAAGTGTTGACAGATGTGTAAACATTCCAAAAACGGCCAGGAAATTGGAAACTTGGATTTGTTGAAAGGCTGCCTTACGAACGCTGGATTGTTTACTTATTCTTCGGACTAATGGCTTTCATTGCTTTTTAAGTTTTCATAAAGCATACGGCAGTTATTGCTCGTAGGATACTTAAATATGTCCAATGTCATCAAGAACAGTTTTGCACGTGGAAGGAATGTATTTTTCAGACTGTAAAAATGAAACAAAAAATTAAGAGACGATATTTGGTGATTGGTGATTTGGATAAATAGAAGTAAGTCTTTTCTTCTTTTTATTACTTTTGACATTTAAGTTATTTATCAATTTCAGCTTTGCTTTTCTCTTAGCAGCCTGACGTTGTCAAAATTGTCAGCAAAAATAAAATTGAGGTACCACAGTACATGTGGAAATCTTAAAAAAAGTAGTTTTGTCATTGAAAAGTGTGAAATTATATTTTGATAATTTTCACTGTGAAATTATCAAATATAACTTTCACGGATAAATCAGTAATCCACTGAAAAGCATAAAATAAAAACTTCTATTTTTCAAACAGAAGGAAATGTTATCTTGAACACATCAATTAGATATCCCTTAATAGAGATAATGATGTCATTCTAAGCATTGCTAGGTTGACTGAATATTCCTTTCCGGTTATCCTATGTTCGCGCATAAGTGTGTGTGTGTGCGTGTGTGTGCGCGCGTGTGTGCGCGCGCGCGCCATGTTGTATCAAATGTAGCTCTAAAAGTCTTAGATTCAACGAACCTTTCGCGTGTGAATTTATTCAGTTTATTCGACTGAATATTCCTGTCCGTTTTTCCCATGTTCGTGCATAAGTGTGTGTGTGTGTGTGTGCGCGCGCGCGCGCGCGTGTGTGTGTGTGTGCGCGCGCCATGTTGTATCAAATGTAGTGCTAGATTCAACGAACCTTTCGCGTGTGAATTTATTCTGTTTCGTAAGAGTTATTGTCCTTGACTTAGTAAAAAAATGCAATTTTTAACTTGTGTTGCAGTGTAGCGCCAAAAAAATGACTATAATCATGAATCTGAAAAAGGATTATTTTTTTGTCCGCATATGTAGTTGTGCACCTTTTTAAAGCATAGTTCAGGATATAAAAGTGAGATTAAAAATTGTTGCTAACTTTTGGAGAAACTCGAGATAACAACTTCAGAAAAAATGTATGAAGGGGCAATGCAGATTTTCCTTTGTCCGTTTGTCACACTGTTCAACTGTACTTTACTAGGCTAAAACAAAAGTTGTGGCATGCCTGTCCTATGGACACATTTCCTTGTTCTATTAACTATGAACATAGCTTTAAATAAATAAACAAATAAAATTATTATTTGCAATTACGGATAACCTAAATGCTATCATAAAAACTTATTTTTAAAGCATTATTGACGATATGTCCTACAATATGCAAAGGAATTCAAGTTGGCCGACAGAATATCTAAAATACGGAATGAAACTCACATTGATTTAAACAAATTTATTAAAGAAAATTGGATTTCACTATGCTTCTTTCTGAGTTATCTTTCCCTGAGTGCAATGAATAATTTTACTTGTATAGGTTACTTTAATAACATAGACTAAAAGTCAAAGCATATCGATACCTCATTTTATCTAAGATTATTCTTTGTTTATTTTTTCACCTTCAGTCATTGTGTAAAATTTAATGTATGTTGTTCCATTTTCCGTCCTTTGATAAAATAACACACTGCACCTTTCTTAAAAAGGTAAATTAATGGGAAAAAAATTCAATAAAAATTGCTGCACAATGACAGGAATAAAAGTAACAACTGAAGTTACCCATCGCTCTTTAATACCATGTGTGACATGTAAATGCTACAACATAAAATATCAAGACTTTTGTGGTATTTCTATTGTATTACAGCAGAGATGTACAAGACGCAAAGTATATGATTATTATGCATTAACAGATGACATTAATATACCCGTAAATTGGTATTATTATGTGCTATTTAATCAGTTGTGTACTGTGCTTTCAGCGCTTTGATCTTATTTTGTAGTGTTTACGAAATCATTTTTCTTTCAAATCACTACAGTAACAATTCAAGTAAAAATGATAGAACTCTTAAAATGAAACAGGCCTCTTAGTGACTGAAACAGCGGATGCCTTGGTATGTTTGTTGACGAAACCATAGATGCTCTTCAAACGTCAGAAAATAGAAAACACGTTTTCAGAAAAATCTACAAATCATTTAAAATACGATAACACCATGTTATAATAAAGTTTGAAAACCCGTGCACCCTGAAAAATACCTGAAGAATTTTTACCAAGAAACAGCAAAATAAAAGGTAAAACTTATATTGAATCCTATACCCGAACAGTCACGTTGGCTGGCCACCATTTACATGGCAGTTGCTTTCGTTCAGAATTGAGTAAAATTGATTAAACATACCGAACTGTTACATTATCAAAACATGTTTTTTCGTAGCTTCTCATATCAAGCAAATGATATCTTTTACTGCGTATTTGTTCTTTATATAACCGATTTGTATCTTACATGCATTATTTAATAATCTGCGGAATGACGTCACATTCCTGGTTATCATAATATGATATGATACATAATCGTAAATAAAATGCTATGCTTAGGCTGTAAGATTGCTTGTGCTCTCACCTGATGTGCAATATATTGTCGGAACAGACCAGCTTCCACTTTCACAAATACTTGTTGTAATGTTTGAGCTGTACCCATCTATACATGATATTACGATATTTCTTCCATCCGCTGATATGGACTGCGTTTTTCCATTACGTATTTCTAATTTACCACATTCTGAAAAAAATTATGATAATGAAAATGGCTAAGTCCTTCAATATTATAATGTATTAGCTATAATAACAACTGTTAACTTAATAAGATCTTATATTATGTGAATTTTCAAGAAAAAACTCAAACTCTGGCTATTGTCACAGACGTAAGCATCCAGTTTTTGAGTCGTTTAATGGCAATCCGGTAAGATGTCGTTACTGTCATAAACTGTTATCCTCGAGCTGCTAGATATTCATGTTTGTTCCGGCAGCCGGTGAAAGATATTCCCTTTTTCTTTTATTAATGCACAATTTTATGTATACAATTACAATGTTGTACATACAATTAAAATGTTATACATACCAATAAAATGTTATACAAAGCATTAATGTGTAGACAATAACTGTGTCATTCAAACATTGTACATTGTATGGTATATTTTTTCCTTTTCCAGGTACGACAGGTATTTAACAGAAACTTTCCGGTTAAATAAAAGGCACGAATGTGTCATAAAAAAGTACAAGTCATGTTTCACTTCATGAATTTGTTTTATTGACCAGGCTGTATGAATGGTAAACACCCAAATTATTAAAAGAGTAGTTGAAAGTGAGAAAGGAATATTCTTAACTACAAAGAAACAGACCTAGTTAAATACTTACAAACTTATTCTGACTGTAATATTTGGTTAAATTTTTCATCTTTACCATATACATGTATATCATAATAAACTCACCTGTGCAAAAAATGCTGATATCCCTATCATGTGTACATTCGACATTAGGAACGAATTCACAATCTTTTATATGTGATTCTATTCCGTTACACTTAAACTCTTGAGCAAATATAGGTCCAATCCCAGGTCCATAAAAAGCACTCGATTCAAATGTTGTTGCTCTGGAAGTATTATAGACAAATAACATTCGTTGGAATATATAGAATCCTACACTAGTTAACTTTTTATTACAAGCTAAATAAATGATAAATAAACGAACCTCTGGCGATCGTTATGTATAATAGAATTTTATTTTTTATGACTACAAATTGGGGATTCCTTATTCTTTGTATGCTTATGAGTGAATAACTGATGTATCCGTGAAAATGTTATTTGATTATTCATCAGTTAAAATTTTAGAAATATAATTTCCTCTTTTAAATGAAAAGACTACATTTTAAAGAGTGTCCCCTTGTGGTACCTCAATTTTATGTTTAGAGCAAACCAAATCATTTTTTTATTGAATTTAACACTCCTCAAATAAGTTTCTATCTGAAAAAACAATAGACCATCACAAGATGGCATACATGTGAGAAAAGGGAAGCCCTCTTCGAGAACAATGAAACTAAAATTATGTCAGCACCATGATAAAACAAAAAAATACTTCGTTACTTTTGGAAATGCCTTAAGAAATTGAATCTGACATACTTGAGACCGATCATTCGACACATGACATTTGCATCATTAAAATCAAACGAGTCATCACAAACAGTTCCCCATACACCATTGATGTTAATTTCTACTCTCCCACTATATGGCTGCGTACCATTGACTAGTCGTATACCATTTACATTTAATTTCTCACCGCCTGTATAATACAAGGAATACAACTATAATAAAACTTTAGTCGCGTAACAAAGTATTATAATTTTAAAACCTTTTTAATAGTTAATAATGTATCATTACATCTAAATACCAACCTATCTAAATTTGTATAGAGTTATATTATAATATAACAAAAAGAATATACCAAGGTTTGGCAGTTTATTTTAAATAATATTTCTCAATAAAAAAGTCTAAATTTAAATTGTTTGATAGACTTGTGAATATATCAAAATGATAATAGTAAGACAACAGTTATAAATTATTTTGAATAATGCATTCATATCACAGCAATTACCTGAAGTAGCTATGATTTACCTGCAATGTCGCTAGTTAAAGCGTGTAACAGCACAATCAAAAACTGCAATTTCATTGTTAAGATGTCTCTTTATCATCCGATGTTCATGTCTGAAATTACATGACACGTGTTAATTTATAACCGTATTATGTAGTTAAGTACAAACTACATAGACTGTGATATAATATTGTTTTAAATTTACATGACCACTTTTAGTGATAAAGGAGACAATAAGACAACAAAATATGAAATACTTTCTTTAAACCGAATCGGATGTTTATGCTAAAAGGATTGATAAACAATTGTAGCAGGAGAGGGCTTCTTCCGAGGCGACAGGCTGCAAAACTTTCACAAACTGGCTTCGCAAGTTCCTCTCACTTTTTCTACTACAAGTACTGATTTATATAGAGCCTGAAGCTTGGACTCACTTCGTCTCTTTAATTCTGAACCATTACTTAAAGAAATAACAAAAACATCAAGTTTCCAGTTCTATTTTTTTATACAGATTGATGTGTGATAACGTTCTTTATTCAAATGTACAAACTTCAATTATATAACACAAACAATAAATTCTTACTTTACAATTATTACCATATTTAATTCAAAGAACTTTCAAAGCAGAATAATTGAAGAGAGAAATAATGTACTTTTACTTTTAATAAAAGAGTACCTTATAATTAACTTTTACTTTTTATAAAAAAATACCTAATAAATTTAGAAAGGAAAAGGGGCGGTAGCGTGGCTTTGTAACCTTTGCTTCCAATGATGCCAATGAAATCTAACCTTATATACCAAAGTTATCATTATTTCAAAACAACCAATATCTCAACATTTTAAACATTTAATTTCATAAATATAAATTAAGAATAATTATCAAAAGCAAAATTATTAAAGTCTTACACCTAAAATATTTTCTATATTGACAAATTCAATCACTAACAGTATACTTGGTATGCTGTGTGTAAATGTTATTCAAAATGTAACAAATTATAATTTCATGTACTACTAAAAAGGGAAATAACAAATTTATAACCTAAGTGTCAAAAATCAGAACATTTATTTATATACAAAGAAAGGGAAACAACCTGCCCTACACACAATTAAATGATAAAGTTTCAGCTGCGGTCTTTATCAAATAGTTATATATATTTTTTTACATATATATTTTTTTCCTCATTTTACCAGATTGACGAAATATGAAATTTGTTAGAGACAGTTCTGTTTTTTTTAGCCACAACAATGTATATTGTGTTACTTATATAAACAAGTTTACTATCTTTGAAAATATACAGATTGAATTATTAAATAAGATATTAAAAAGTATTACATTGTTTCCGTTAGAAATATTCATAAACTTTTATACAAAAAATCAAAACCTTTGTAACCGTTTTGAATAGATCAGACAAATATGTTATTTACTTGTCTCACTTAAAAAAAGATAACTATGCGTTTGCTTATGTATTACTTGTGACAATGACTATCTGAACTTTATAAAAAAAAACGTAAAGAAAAAAAAGAAAAAACGAGAAGAGTATTCATGTTGACTTCCTACAGGTAAAACATTCTTTAGGAATGATTTTGTCGTTGCTTACACGTAGTTTTATCATTCAATCAGGCAAATAACATAAACCGATTAAAGATTGATTATTTTGCATTATACCAATGTGGAAATAAACAAAGAATTTTGATTATGTACAGCTATCATATATAACATACAACAATCAATATTTTTATCATCTTATCTTTCGATGAATAACCGATACTGAGTCTCACTAGGATAACAATGAGCAGTACAATGTTTTCTTAGAACAGATATTTTTCTTAATTGAAATACGTTAAGTCTGATTGGTTTGAAAAGGTACATTTTCTTTGGTGCAATTGCTTAAACTTACAAAATCTTTACATGTCATTCTTCATACCAGTATCTGCTATTTCAACAATTGATATTTCTTGATTAATAAATCCAACAAAACACCATTTAATTTAATAAACTATGCAAAAATCGTGTAGAACATCGGCATCTATTACCATCTATTTATCTAGGCAAAAATTTCCCAATGTTTAAATCAAGTGACTTAATATACCAAACATGATACTACAAAACTCACTGCATCAAACGTTTTGAAAGTTGTTTTAATTGCATCAATCAACTGAAAATTTTATTTGTTTACAAGCTTATGTAGTTTTCAAATATGATAAATGGACAGGAGCCTAACATATTTGTGTATATATCCAGCAGACTGTTTGTGATGAATTCAACGTCTTAAAATCATTTACAAAGTTAGAGAGCAATTTTTTCAAAATGTTCAGGTTACTGAAAATAAAATTAACAACACAAAAATTTCGCCATTTACAAATCATAACTACACCTAATTAAAACTATCCGTATATAACAAATTGTTTGTCTTACTTTTGTCTTTCCTATATGACGCAAATTGACGCGGATCAATATAAGAATAGCACTTTCGTCTTACGAAAATAAAAAATGATGAGACGGAATGTGCGTGATCAAGGTTAATACTCGTACGAGACCACATCTCTATTCAATAAAAATATGAACTGGTCAACTAACTTTGGTACAATAAAAAGGATGGGACTTCTTTTGCGAAAATTGCCATTACTCCGTAAATCACGGAGTAGACGTATGGGTGAATAATACTGCAATATCAGTCATTAAACGCAAATCCGTGTCTAGCACATGTATAACTTGATTTTTGTTTTTCAGATTTTCTTAAAGGATTAATACATTTGTCGCAAATTTGATTTTCTTGAAACATTTTGGCTGGAGATATGTAGCTTTAAGCACATTATTAAACTAGTACATGTTAAAAACATATGTTTGTACTATTCAAACACGAAAATCAACGCACTTGCTAACCTAAATAATTCGTAATGTGTCTGTAGTTATAAAACCATTTGATGAACTAAATGAATGACTTCGCACTAAAATAGAACTTTCTCAAACTTAAATACTGATACAACTGCTTATTAGCGAAACATTTACAATTAGAGAAAGGTGCACATTTTTTTCAATATATATTTTAGACTCAAACAGTGAAAATACTCAAATGTGATTTAAAAAAGAAATGTATTTGGCATTTGTGTTCTTTTAATTGAAACAGTCATTATCAAAAAATGTAGCGAAATGTTATAATTTAAATTATTCTGAAGATATACGGTATCAAAGTAGAAGGTAGCACGCAATTTGTTTCTTTTTTCCAAAACAAGGAATGAAGATATGAGATAACACCTTTGGTTTGATAAATTGATTTAAAGTTAAAGCATGTTTAGATAAACATAAATGGTGGGTGGTTTCTTTACAATAAGACGACTATGAGATGTCAAAATTTATCTCTTATTGAACCGTGTTTAAGATTTTTTATGTAAAAAAAATGTACACTGTTGTACTTTTTCTTGCCAGACAAGACTTCATAAAGCGCATTTAATCATCAATTTGTAGAAAAAAATCTGAAAAAGAATCCCAACATAACTGATGATTTAAACATCTTTTTTTTCCCCAAAAAATCAATGTCTAAAATTGTAATCAAAAGAAGCAAATATACGGTGGCATTAAAATATATGTTTTGTTTAGTTTTTGATACTAATTTTTTATTTTTTATTTTTTATTTTTGCTTTTCGTACATATTTTACATATTTTTTTTAGTTTTGCATACATATTTTATTTTAGTTTTGATAACACATTTTTTTTTAGTTTTGCATACATATTTTATTTAAGTTTTGATAACACAAAGAAAAAATAAGTATTCAAAACTAAAATAAAATATGTATGCAAAACTAAAAAAATAAGTATGCAAAACAAACATAAAACAAAAAATGTACAAAAAACAAACAAAAAATAAAATAAAATAAAAATAAGTATCAAAACAAAAAGAAAAAAAAAGAAAACAAAAATGCAAATGTCATTTTTATGCCACCGTACAATTATATTGATTGAAACAATAATTTCGCAAACGAACAATGTTTCAGACAATTAAAAAAAAATCCGATACAAATGTAAAAATATTTACCAGTTTAATTTCATCCTTCCATAATAGCGACCTGCGTCCTATGTGGGTAGCGCGGTATTATTATGATACAGATTTAACCCGGAAGAGAAAATAATCGACATAAATGTTCATGTCATGCTACATTAAACGGAAACGATTTAAGTTTGTAGTTTAAGATTTAAGGGCGGGTATGACCTGTCACAATCAACTCTATATTTAAGTTGTTTTATTGTTTTCAAACATACCTTCAGTTCATTAACAAATAACCCTTTTAACCCTTTAAATATAGAAAATATTTACCTTTATCGTATTATAGAGAGAATAAAAGTTACTTAAACTTATAATGGACACTAATTACTATTTACTTACTATGAACACTACGGAATAATAACTTACAATGAATCTTACTATGTAAGCTTATTATTTGTTTGTTTGTTTGTTTGTTTGTTTGTTTGTTTTATTGGGTTTAACGTCACACCAACAAAGTATAGGTCGTATGGCGACGTCCAGCTTTACTGATGGAGGAAGACCTCAGTTGCCCTTCCGTGCATTATTTCAGACAAGAACGGGAAACTTAAGATAGAATCTGATTACTATAATCTCAAATATGAATATAAACATAAATTTATTTAAAAGTAAATAAAACATATAAAACAACAACAACACTAAATTATGTGTTTTTTTATCATTACGCAATGCATTTTCCATGTTTTATTTCATCTATTAAACTGGATTTTTAGAGATTCTTTATCTAACAAAATTGAGATAAACTTTCTAGTACATGGTAACTATTAGTTAATTGCAGAACATTTATATGTGTAATTCACTTTAGGTATTTGACTTTTGAATATATCTTGAATATAAAGCTAGAATAATGCTTAAAGTGTTTTGAGGGTCGTTTACGCTTTTGTCACTGACCACAAGTCTTCAACCTAAAACACAGACAAAAGTTCTGATTCTTGGTTGGATCGAGTCTACAATTTTCACTTATTTACTTGTATTGCCAGTGATTCCGGAGAATCTCCTTTGTCCATTTTTTTTCCATATGATAAAACATCTATTAACCCTTTACTTCATATATACGCGAAACAACGCACTTTCGACCCCTCCCCTCTTTTAGGCCTCAAATAGTGAAAAAATGTCCTATTTGAGCCCCAAATACATGTTTTCGTTGAGAAATGTTGCTAAAAATGTGAGCACTTTTTCGGCGCCGCCCCCATCCAAAAGTTACATCAGGGGGTTGCCAGAAGGGGGATGTGCCCCACTTCTGTTTGGGGGGTTTGAAGGGGGCGGTAGTCCCCCTCATCGCCAAGAAAATTTTGGACTTGTTAGAGGCTAAAAATGACCCCAAATCGATCATAAGGTTATGTGTAACCAACGCTGAAAAGCCTTTGACTCTATCTCAATCCCTTGAAAAGTTGCAGCACTTTGAAATAAATTTTGATGG